GTCTGAGGAATCGAACCTAGGGCCTCATGCATGCAAGGCAAGCCACCTTCCCAGCTCCTAAAAATATTTTTCAGTTACTAAATACCTATGTTGAAAATGAGTTATACCTGGGATAGGGTGAAAGTGAGAGAGCAGAAGACACTGTGTGAAAGGAAATGTACTGATGACCTGACGCATGTAATTGTAGTCCCTCTGTACATCACCTTTATAATGACAATAAAGTAGATTAAAGAAAATGAACCATACAACTTGTGGGTAAGGATGCAAGGGAAAAACTGACAGAGCAAGAGAAAGGGTGACATGGCCCAAAAAGAAATACACACTTTACCTGACTAATGTAACTGTAACCCTTCTGTACATCACTTTTTTTTTCTTTGATCAGTTGTGGGGCTTGAACTCTGGGCCTGGATGCTGTCCCTCAGCTCTTCAGCTCAAGGTGAGCACTCTACCACTTAAGCCACAGAACCACTACTGGTTTTCTGGTGGTTTTTTAATTGGAGATAGACTTTCCTCCGCAGGCTGGCTTTGAACTACAATCCTCAGATCTCAGCCTCCTGCATAGCTAGGATTACAGGGTGAGCCACCAGTGCCTGGCTGTACGTCACTTTTATAATAATAAAAATTTTCAAGTTATTATATGAATTACTAAAAATTATATTCAGCAGGAATATTCTACATTTATCTTAATGTTAATATTTTAGTTACTTTTATAATGTTTAAATATTAAGCTTCTATTACTTCATGTTGGTTTTTTTCTGTTTTTAGATACTGATTTTCCAAGTAGCAGCTAAAAGTTAAGCTCGCAATCTTCTTCTCAATGCCTATCACCCACAGCATCTTCTGAAATCCATCTTCCAAATGTAAACATAATTATATGCAATGTCAGTGTGATTGTGTATTTGTTAGATCAATACTGAGCACTTATGTAGCTCTAAGTAACATTTACTGTTTCTTGTACAAGACTTTTTCTATAGGGATAATAACCACATGAGCCTTAATCTGTTGGTTGTTTCTGTGTGTCTGTCATTATTTCAACTCCCATATACTAGACTCTCTCCTTAAAGCTTCAGACACAACTGAAATTCTGCCCATCCCATTCATCTGAAGTGGTATCTCTCAAAAGCTTTCAACTTCTCTACTTCAGGACAGAGTAGGAACTTATAAGCACAGGCAGGAACTTCCTGAACAGTGTCCCAGGGTCACAACAAATTGGAGGGAGACTCAATAAATGGGACTACCTTAAAACAAAAAGTTTCTGCACAGGTAAAGAAACAGCAACCAAGCTGGGCTCACACTTGTAATTCCTAGCTACTCAGGAGGCTGAGATCTGAGGGTCACGGTTCAAAGCCAGTCCAGGAAGGAAAGTCCGTGAGACTCTTATCTCTCAATAAACCACTAGAAAACCGGAAGTGACACTGTGGCTCAAGCAGTAGAGTGCTAGCCCTGAGCTGAAGAGCACAGGGACAGCGCCCAAGCTCAGAGTTCAAGCCCCATGACTGACAAATGAAAAAAGAAAAAAAGAGACCAAACTAGAAAGACATCCAACTAATTGGAAAAAAAAATTACCAGCAATATATCAGACAAGGGCCTAATACCCATTAGATACAGGGAACTCAAGAAACTAACCCCTCCCAAATCTAACAAACCACTCATTAAATGGGCAAGGGAGCTAAAGAGAGACTTTTCAGAAGAAGAGATAAAAATAGCAAAGAAACACATGAGGAAATGTTCATCATCCCTGGCTGTAAAGGAAATGCAAATAAAAACAACACTGAGATAACCACCTTACCCCAGACAGAATGGCCCACATCCTAAATTCAGCCAATGACAAATGCTGGAGGGGATGTGGAGAAAGAGGAACCCTACTGCATTGCTGGTGGGAATGTACACTAATACAACCACTTTGGAAAACAGTCTGGAGGTATCTCAGAAACCTAAATATAGACCTTTCCTATGACCCAGTCATACCACTCCTAGGCATCTACTCTCAACATCAGGAACCAGAATACAAGGACACATGCACCTTCATGTCCATTGCAGCACTGTTCACAATAGCCAAGATATGGAGACAACCCAGAGGCCCCACTACTGATGAGTGGATCCAAAAATTGTGGTACCTATATATACAATGGAATATTATGCAGCCATTAGAATGGACAAAATAATGGCATTTGCAGGGAAATGGATGGAACTAGAGCAAATCATTTTAGAGAGGTAAGCCAAGAGCAAAGAGACGAATGGCACATGGTCTCCCTGATATGTGGATGCTAAAGCCAAAATGCAAGCAGATATGACAAGGTAAACAGGACTCAAGAATCAAAGGACTGCCACTCATTTTGTTGTATCATTGCTAAATGACTCCATGTTCTTGACCACATATGTGGTATACGTATATGCGCATCTGAGGGAAGCTAGGAGGAGGACATAGAACAGAGGGAAATGGTAAAAACATATAAGAAGGGCCTATCTGCTGCACTGGACTTAGATGAAAATAAACTAAGCAACTGAAAGGCAGTGATGGGAGGGAGGGAATGAGAGGGAAAGGGAACAGCTTACAATAAGCAAAAGGAAAGAAATGTAAATATCACCTGATGTGGAAGAAATAGCTGTATTGCCAAAGCTCATAGAATTCACAAACTTTATAGACTATGGTATGACAATTTGTCTTGTGAAGGTTAAAAAATGTCTGTGACTTTAACTAAGTATCACTATTCCACACTACTGTGAAATATGTGAAATGTATGTGATCACCTACTCTCAAAATTTTTTTTAAGTTTTTAATTTCTAATCTGGACATTGCTATCTATGCCTGTACATAGTGATCTTCCTAGGCTCTTTCAGAAGCATCATGGGATTGTTATTTTCTCTGTATATTTTATTTCTATTGTGTTTCTCATATTTCATTATTTTTCTCTATCTTGGCAAATTTGCTTGTTTTGGTGTACCAAACTTTCCTGAAAGATTGCATGAGTTTTGTTGTTGTTATTGTTCTAGATTTAGCATGTCTTAAACTTGTATTCTATAATCACACTTGGTAAAAGGATGAGTGCTGAAGACAAGAAAGTGTTTTCCTTCAGCATGTTAAGTAGCATGGTTGCTAAATTCCACTGATGATCCTGAGCAATCTGAGGATATTCTGATTTCAGTGTACCACATTAAAGTGTGTGGGACCTTTTCTTTATTCTCATATTCTGAAACTCCTTTTTTGTTTGTTTTTTTTTAACTGTATTTTTTTTGTCTTTTCTTTTTTGGTACTGGGGATCGAACCCAGGACGTTGCGCTTGCTAGGCAAGCGCTTTGCCACTGAGCTACATCCCAGCCCTGAAACTCCTTTTAAAAAAAAATGTATCTTTAATTGCACAAAGAGGTTTCATTTTGACCTGGCTCGGTTTGCTGCTTGGTAGGCTCTTTCAGTGTGAAATTTCACGTCCTTCTGTTTTGGAGAAGTCTCTCAAATCATTTACTGCTAGTAATCATCTTCCTTCTATCCTCCCCGGCGAGTCTGGAACTCCTGCAGCGCGCCGTCCGGTTGTCATAGCAGCGACGCGGCGCGTGCGCAGTCTGCACGAGACACCGTTGCGCCTGCGCAGGGCGGCGGCGTCGCCGCTGCCTCCGTCATCCCGCCTTCCGTTCCGCTCCAGGTCCGCGCCGGGCTGAATGGCCTACCCGGATGCCGCGGGCCCGGAGGAGCTGACCACCGCTCAGCGCCACGAGCTCCCGTGACCCGCCTTCCCTCACCCGGACCCCGCGCCTGGGCCCGCGCAGAGGAGCGGGGCCTCTGAGGGGAGCGGCGACCCCGCCGGTCCCGAGCTCTTTCCAGGCGGCGGCGGCTTCTTCCGTGGGACAATATGTTCAAGAGAATGGCCGAATTTGGGCCTGACTCTGGCGGGAGAGTGAAGGTCAGTGCTCGGGTCCCTGCCGCACCGTCCCTGCTCAGGCTGGAACCCAGCCGCAGACCGGGGATGCCGGACGACTGGCTAAACCTCAGCGTTCGAATCCCAACTTCCGCCGCCACCGCCTCCCTCCCCGCCCCGAGTACCTCCCGCGACCGGAAGTGCCTGAGCTGGGGCGGGACCAAGTAGACACTGGGAAATACTGGCTCGCTGCACCTCAGCGGGCAACCCCGGTCCTGGGTGAATGGGCCGGGGTCGTGCGCAGAACGGCTGCCCCGGGGGCCCGAGTGCTCACGGGGTTTCCAAAGGCTGGCCGGGAAAAATCATAAATCCAGGATTGACAGACTTGCCTGACTTCCGGTTTACAAAGCCTCAAAGCTAAGCGCTTAGGAACACTGAATTTTAGCTCTTGTCCCAAGTAGACCCCCCTCATAATGCTGGACATTGCGATGCTTTATTTCCGCCCACCTTTTTGCACACGCAGGCCGTTCATTCATTCATTGTGCCAGTACTGGGGCTTGAACTCAAGGCTTCAAGCTCTCAGTTGGCTTTTTCCTCTCCAGGTTGGCACTCTACCTCTTGAGCTGCACCTCCACTTCCAGCTTTTTTGCTCATTAAGTGGAGAGAAGAGTCTCCTGGTCTTTTATGCCTGGTCTGGCTTTGCACCGATCCTCAGATCTCAGCCTCCTAAATAGCTAGGACTACAGTTAATCACAAGCTAAGTGACTGACTAGCTAGGTTCTTTGATTTTTTTTTTTTTTTTTTTTTTGCCAGTTCTGGGGCTTGAACTCAGGGCCTGGATACTGTCCCTGAGCTTCTTTTGCGCAAGGCTCACACTCTACCACCTGAACCACAGCACCACTTCCGGTTTGTACTGTGTATGTGGTACTGAGGAATGGAACCCAGGGCCTCATGCTTGCTAGGCAAGCGCTTTACCGCGAAGCCACCTTCTCAGCCCAGGTTCTTTGACTTTTAAGAAGACACCAACTGATTCCTGATCAATATTTATCTTCTTTCTCTCTTTCTTTCTTTCTCTCTCTTTCTTTCTCTCTTTCTTTCTTGTCAGTCGTGGGGCTTGAACTCTGGGCTTGGGCGCTGTCCCTGCGCTCTTCAGCTCAAGGCGAGTGCCCTACCGCTTGTGCCACAGCGCCACTTCCAGTTTTCGAGTGATTTTTTTGGAGATAAGAGTCTCACAGAGTTTCCTGCCTGGACTGGCTTTGAACCGTGATCCTCAGATCTCAGCCTCCTGAGTAACTAGGATTACAGGCGTGAGCCACCGGCGCCCGGCATATTTATCTTCTTTCTGATTCTCAATTTTATTACAGAAAGGACATTTTCAAAAGGAATTTCCCATGTTTGCACAAGTCTGATAATTGTTAATTTTTGAGACCTAATCTGTCATATTATTTTAAAATGTATTTATAGTGTGTTTACAGCTATTCCTGTTATAATATCACATGCAAAATGTAAATTCTTTGAAAATTCCAAAACATCTCAAAGTTAATAGAAGGGGAAAGATACCAGGTCAAAAGTTCATAGTAGCAGAGGCTTCAGAAACATGAACATTTTTACCTTTAACTTTAGGCAAGCTTCTGGAACAAAACTACTACAAAGAAAAGGATTAAACACTAGATTTTGAGGGAAAAGGAATAGAACTTTTTCTACTGTTAGGCTCTACAAGCTTTTAAGTTTCAGGTAAGTTAAGGAGGTGAAACCTGCAGCCTTCCGATGATTTTCTACCAAAAGTAGTCACATAAAGCTTTAAAAATTAATGACTTATTTCTCCTTGATGATTGCTATGTGATCTTATAGGTATCTTTTTCCAATTTAGATAAATCTTTATCTTTTTTATTGGTGAAGTCTTCAGTTGTCTAACAACATACAGGAGCTTAGGTTAGCACTTGTACTCACTAAGTCAAACCTTGAACTTGAGGCCCAGTTGATGGTCAACAACCAGTGCTTCTGTAGCACTTACTCAAACATAAAAACTGCTTGCCTTTTTCTAAAGTGACTTTAGCCTTAATTTTTCCCATTTTTTTTCTTCAGACTTCTTTTGTTGTGAAAATACCATACAGAGGGGTTACAATTACATGGGCAAGATAATGAGTACATTTCTTATCAAGCATTGTTACCTCTTCCTTTGTTTCCCCTTCCCATCCCTTTCCATCCCCCTCCAAGCCCCCTTACCCACCCCTTTTCCTATTATTTTATTACTAGTTATTGATTATGTTGACACTGCTTCAGATACAACTAGTGGACAGTGTGGCCTAAGATTCATGTGCAAAACTGGGTTCTTTTCACTTGAAACTTTTTCTGTTGTTATTGTTGGTCCTGGGGTTTGAACTCAGAGCCTAGGTGCTGTCTCTGGACTTTTCACTCAAGGTTAGTAGTGTTCTACCATTTTGGGTCATAGTGCCACTTCCTGTTTTCTTATAATTGGAGATAAGAGTCTCATAGACTTTGAGGGCTGGTTTTGAACTGCAGTCCTCAGATCTCAGCCTCCTGCGTAGCTAAAATTACAGGTATGAGCCACCAGTGCTCTTCTTTTATAAGTGCTCTGCCTTTTTAATAATCACATATGATGAGAAATTTGTAGGTCATTGGAGAACTGGGAGCAGTTGTAGCAAACATACCATTGAGTCAATGTTACCATCTTTGCCATAGCTGAATCCCAATTGCAATACTTAATGTGGCATTTATTTATAATTTTTACTGTTATTATAAAAGTGATGTACTGAGGAGTTACAGTTACATGAGTCAGGTAAAGAGTAAATTTCTTTTTGTACAGTGTCACTCCTTCCGTCCAAGTTCTCTCCCAGTTTTTCCCTTCCATCCCTACACACAAGTTGTATAGTTCATTTTCAGCATTTTATCCAGTGAGTACCATTGCTGCATTTGTTCACCATTTGTCCTTCCATTTCTGTGCCTCCCCTCACACTCCCAGAGACATATAAAGGAACAAACAGAACAAAGACTTAAAGGAACAAACAGAACAAAAAGAAAGAACAAAAACAGCAAAAAAGAAAAACCCTCTTGTTGGTGTAGCCTTTATATTTAAATGATTTCAGTTTTTAAAAGCCTCTTAGCATTTGAAATCATGGGTTTGAAATTCTAATTGTAGTTCTTTTTCTAAAGGGACTAAAGTAAATACATTGTATTAGCTTTTTATCACTATGACAAAATACTTGAATATTTTGAAGGACTAAGACTTGTGTTAGCTCACGATATTAGAGGTTTCGGTTGAGGGTTGTTTAGCGCCCTCTCTACACGCCCCCAGGCAAGATTGAACATCTTGGTAGGAAGGCTAAACAAAGCTGCTTACTTCACTGTGGCAGAAACAGGTGGGGGAGGGCAGAAAAGGAGCGAGGAGAAAGGGGGCACAGAGAGCAAGGAGCCAGGGACAAGAAATGCCCAGTGACCTAGTTCCTCCAGACCTCACCTTCCAAATCAGCCATTCAGCTATGAAGTCCTCAGTGGATAATCTGTCGATAACATTAGTATCATCAAGATCACCTCTTCATAGTTGCATCAGCTGGGGACCAAGTTTTCAACACATGAGCCTTTTGAGGGTGAATGACGTATCCAAACCATAACATACATAGGAATAGAACAGAAAGTGTTTGTCCCTTCTAACTAAACTTCTCTCACAAATTGCCCCTGATTTTTTTTTTTTTGCTAGCATACCTTAGTTGAATGAGAAAGGTTTTAGGTGTGCCATTTCCACACATGTATACAGTGCATTCCAATCAATTGTACCTGCCTTTAAGATGTATACTATGCTTTGGTTAATAGTGGTTAAACTAATTAATAAGGTTGTTAACATCAGGAGATGCAGCTCTGGGTCCCTCCCCTCCCCCCAGAAGCTTTGCTTTCAGATTTATAAGTAAAGGATCTTTTGTGTTTCTTTTAATAAAACTCTCAGCTGCTTTACATGGTGATTTAAAATTTTTCAAATAGGAAGCATTATAATATAATCTTGTGTTTATTTATGTTCTTTTGAAACTAGAGTGTCTGAAATAGATTTAAGAAAAATCTATGTTAAGAGAATTATAATTTTTCTTTTAGGGAGTTACTATTGTTAAACCAATAGTTTATGGTAATGTTGCTCGATATTTTGGGAAGAAAAGAGAAGAAGATGGACATACCCACCAGTGGACAGTATATGTAAAACCATATAGAAATGAGGTAGGCACTTGTTTCTTCCTCTAACATTTTTTTGAAGTAGTTTTGCTTGAAAATGAATTGTATCATTCTTTTGTAGTAACTTTCCAATTATGAAATTGGCCCATTATGGGAATGTTGCCCCAAACCTTTTTTTTTAGGAATAGAAAACTCTCATCTTCATGTACTTTTAGAAATCAGTTTTCTAAAAATGTTTTCTAACTAAATTAAGGCAACAAGTTATTCTTCTACAAACACAAGTTTGACAAGAAATGTACTCATTACCTTACTTATTTAATTGTAACCCCTCTGTACATCACCTTGACAATTAAAAAGTTTATTCTTGTGTGATAGGAAATGTTGCCAGGTGCTGATGGCTCACCCCTGTAACCCTAGCTACTCAGGAGGCTGAGATTGAGGATCGTGGTTCAAAGCCAGCCTTGGCAGGAAAGTCCACAAGACTCTTTTCTACAATAAACCACTCGGAAAACCAGAAGTGGCGTTGTGGCTCAAATGGTAGAATGCTAACCTTGAGCTGAACGGCCGAGGGACAGTGCTCAGGCCCAGAGTTCAAGCCCCATGACCAACCCCCCCTCCCTAATACCTAGTACCTGAGAACTGGTATCTGATACAGCAATTTTGATACTTGCCCAGATATTTGTATAATTAGGGAAGTATTACTGAAAGAATCTTCAAAAATGCTTATGAAAATCTTCCTCAGAAAGAATACTTACAGAATAATAGGAGATAAATCCCAAGGCATTAAGATATAATTGAAGTATAATCCCAGTTATACTTTTTTTTTTTTTTTTGCCAGTCCTGGGCCTTGAACTCTGGGCCTGGGAGTTATCCCTGAGCTCTTTTGCTCAAGGCTAGTACTCTACCATTTCAGCCACAGCCTCATTTCA